GATGCCTCGATTTTCTTATCCCACCGTTACCACTCCTCCTGGATGCACCAAAGTAAGATAGCTCTCAATCCCTGGATCATCTCTGCTTGATGATGGCCTCGTATAGTTTCACTCACAGACATGGTGTGTTATGCTTATTTGGTGGCTGCTATCCTTGAAAGGGTGATATAAAAGGTGGGTGTGATTTTTCACATGAACAACAGTGATCAATCTCCAGCCCTCTGCCTGCTAATGAGGGTCATAAATCACAAGCATGCCCAGTCACTTCTCTGCCTTCAGCTATCTGAAAGATATCTAGACCAAGCAAATTGTCTGTTTCTATAACATAGGCTGGGAACATAAGCATTACCAAACTCATTCACCCCACTTAACTATTTTAAGCTAGACTGAATCACTTGCCAAGAAAGCAGTCTACATAACAGTGATGCTTGCCTTAGAATTGGTGTGGGGAGCTGAGAAAGATTCCATCCAACACATTTATGAAGATCTTGCTTCTTTTCAGTGAGTAAAGCTTGTGAGAAGCCAAGCAGCTCGGAAAATTCACTGCAGAAAATGCTCATCCTGAGCTGTACGTTTTTGCACAACTGTAGACCAGTGTAACCATAAATTGCATAGGGCTGGGGTCTAAACAGCTCTGTTTGGAGATGCTGATTGCAGCCAAGGGCTACCCAGCTCCAAGGAGGGAACTTGCAGTATTTTTATGGTGATTTTTGTCTTTAACTGTGGTTGTGGGAGACTATAAAGAAGCGAAGGTGTCCCAACCCTGAAAGTTCAACACACTAACGGAATACAAATAATATTGAAGCTTTTGACATATATCAGACCAACTAGCCTTTAGTTCAGGATTCCACTTCTTATTATGGCCAGTTATTTAAACTTTCATATTCACACACAGGAAATCCCTTATTATTACAACCTAACATTTCCAGAACAGTGTCCCTATATCTATGTCCCCAAAGACAACTGAGTTCCCCTTTCCATTTAAGAGGCACTCATCCTTTCCAACACTATTGTTCATCTGCATCCCCCCCATGCCTCACACTCTTCCTTAGATGAAGTGGGAGGGCCACGCACAGATGCAGAATGCTGCTTGAGTCTGATCCTGTCCCACAGCTCAGACCCCACCTGATGTTTCTTTGCCCGGCTCATCACCATTATAATTTTCCAGGTTTTCTGAGTCAAAACATGGGCCCTTTTCCTGCATAGCAAGTCAGATCATACAATCTGAAGACCCCTTTCAGACTTACAACATGCAAATCTCCTACACCTAGTAAGTGTAAGATCCTTTTCAGGATTGAACCTTGCTCACCCTGCTGCATTTCTCTGCTAACCCTGGCTATACCTGGATACAGCTGGATTCGGTGCGTCTTCCCCTTCACACAACACATGGTCCTGGTGTGTTCTCTGCAACGTTCATCCAAAGTCCAGCACAATGGAATGGAGCCGTTCCCTTCCTTTCACTGGGTTTCGATGCTCATGGTTATTTTTTCCTGCTACCCAAATCCATTTATTAGAACTTGCTCCTGCTGACCCAAAACCACCTCACAGATTTACCAAGATATTCAGCTGTGTCCAGAGACTTCAAGAACCGCATTCAGATGAGCAAATGCCCTTTTTCTCTCTCTTAATGTTTGAAATTGATATAATCTTTTTTTTTGATTGCAGACCCCAAAGTAGGCGCCAGAGTCTGAATATGCTTCTAGGTGGCTCAAGGATTTATTATGCTGCTTGAACCACACAGAAAGAGCCTGGTTTTCAAGAAATTATGAGAATATTATGAAAATAGAATAACTGGAATTTCAGGTATCTGAAATCTCTGGATGTGCCTAAAAAATCATATGAAGGAGTGCTTTATTATTAAAGTTATTTAATGATACCATTTCTTCCAGCTTTGTGATTCATGCGTCGTCTTCTTCATCCTACTCCCAAGTCATTAATCAGAATACAAAGGGCTTTAATACCCAGAAAAGAACTTTTCAGATTGCCTCTTACCAGCAAAGCTCCCTGCTTTGAGAAGCATGCTGCATGGGAAGAACTGTTACTGTTTGGGCAGACAACAACTCCTACTGAGCAAAAGCACTCTGTGACACATCTGTGGAAGTTACTGCACTTTTTATAACTGTTCTATTTGTACTGCTTTAATATTGCATTTTATTATCTACCCTAATATCTCTGGTTTCTATCTGCTTTTCAAAAGAGAGGGATGGTGCATATCACCTACAGTAACAAAAGGTGGTTTTCTCCCTATAGCCAATTTTCAGCTAATTTAATATAACTGTTTTTCTATTGATTTACAAGGCTGACTGATATACTTCTTTTGAATAAGGAAGATGGTTGCACAGCATGAATAAATGCTATTAGCTTCCCAAGGAGATAATACAGCGCAGTGGCAGCAGTAAGCTTTCCTTTTTTCTTGTTTTGCTCCCATATGATATCTATTTTTATTGAATAATTTTATTTGAGAAACAAAATGGAAAAAGAGCATTGCTATTTGTGGAACCTTTCCAATATGCTGCAGGAGCAGAAGGCTTGGATGGGAGATACGCAGCATCTCAAAAGACTGTTTTGTGGTGGCAGACATCATCACAACAGTGTTAGGAGTGTCATATTGGAATGTCATTTACTTCCTTCTGTGACCAGCCTTGGATTAGCACCACATTAGAATGCATTCTAATAAATGCAATTTCAAACAAACAATGTTGTCAGCTCTGGCCCAGGCACCCAACTCCCTTGTCTTGGGCTGAGATGTGGAGTACCAACATCATGCTGAAGTGCAATAGGAGAGTGATTCATCTGAGTGAACTTAAAAGCCTCCAACAACAAGGTGATTCATGCTTCAAATGCTAATGTTTTTTTGCCATAACTTCATTTTACTGATTTTGCATTTCCATATCAACTTCCATATCAACTGATTTACAAGCATCTGCATGAGCTCATGTGTTTATATGTGAGCAGTCAGGTGCGACTCAGCTGAAGTTATATAAGCCTCTATTTAATGGGGTCTCTCTCTGAAGATAAGCTCAAGGCATCTTTCTAGATAAGACCCTTAAGCAGGAGGGGACTCCAAATCACTTGTTGTAATAAAATATAATGGCGCATCTTCTTTGAGCTCTCTTAGGTCTTGAAAAGCTAAGGATGAGGTTCTGGTAGCAAACTAATGCATGTAAACATGAATGATGGCTTTGATGAGAAATGGACCCAGTTCCCATCAAGGATAAAACCAAAAACTTCCAAAACTTCATTTCTGCACTTCACATCCGTGTGGCAGCTGGTACCTACACATCTCTGAAGAACTGGCCATTAATGTCTTTCAGAAAGGTTTTCAGTTCTCACACACTTCAGTCAAGGATGAGTTCCCATTGACTGTGTGGATGGGTTTTCAGTTCTCAGCAAGTTTATTCAGAGCAGCCCTGCAGAAAAGGACTTGGGGGTGATGGTCAATATGAAACTGAACATGACCCAGGAGTATGTGCTGGCAGCCCAGAAACCAACCGTATCCTGGACTTCATCAAAAGGAGCACGACCAGCAGGTTGAAGGAGGTGATCCTGCTCCTCTACTCTGCTTTTGTGGGACCTCACTTGCAGCACTGTGTGCAGTTCTGGGAGCAACAACATAAGAAGGACATGGAGCTGTTGGAACAAGTCCAGAGGAGGCCATGAGGATGATCAGGGGCTAAAGCAACTCCTACATGAAGACAGGCTGAGAACATTGGGGCTGTTCAGCCTGGCAAAGCTGTGAGGAGACCTCAGAGCAACCTTCCAATATCTGAAGGGGGCTTACAAGGATGCTGGAGAGGGACTCTTCAATAGGGACTGTAGTGGTAGGACAAGGGGTGATGGGTTCAAACTGAAACAGGGAAAGTTCAGGTTAAGTGTAAGGAACAAGTTCTTTACTGTGATGGTGGTGAAGCAGTGGCACAGAATATATCTTGCCTGTTTCCATGGTGATGACAGATGCTCTGAAAAACACTACTTTGAAAATCTATATAAGCCTTTGTAGTGCTGTGATTTGATTAAAGATAGCAGTAATAACAATAAAATCCCAGGACTCCATAATGCCAGAGGGGTAAAGAAGAATTGGATTAAAATAGAAAGGTACTACCTCTGGTTTTGAAGTCCACAAGCCCAAATCAGAGGAAACTGGAGAATTACACCAACAAATACCTATTCTTCTGTTCTGATGTTCTTCCCAAGGCATCCCTTGTTACTCTCTACTGAAAATAAGATGTTGAGGCAGGTGAACCATGGCTAAAATCCTGTTTGGCCTCTCTGATGCCCTTTTATTACCAAAGCAAGAATAGCTGAGACAAATGATACTCCCAGTCATTTCGATCATGTTATACAAGAGAACACACATCTAATTGTGGAAGTTTTCAGAAACACCAGGAGTGTCTTTCATGTTTGACTGGCCAGAAGGCAAGGAGTCATCTCACATAGGAAAGACTGCTCCTTCCATACTGGAAACAAGTAGGAATGAAAGCAATCTCATTTCAGTTCTATGAGAAGTCCAGTGGCTGGGTGATAGTCCCAGGCTAGGACAGAGGAGAGGCTTGTGGACAGGATAGAAATGAGCATTAATTTGCTAGCTGCAAATAAGCCAGGGCAGGAAGGTGAATACAGAGACCCTCTGCAGACACATCCTAACATCATCGCTTTCAGCTACTTCGGTGTGACCGCTTTCCTCCTATGCCTCTGTCTAGAAAATGCTTCCTACTTCAGAAACATCTTCCTGACACTCTTCAAAGAAAATCCCACCCAACATCTCCAGACCTTCACAGGCACCAGTCACCAAACTCAAAGCCTGGGTTACCTCTGAGCATAGAGCTCTGGAGATCACAGCTCTGGGACGCTGCTGGGAATAAGAAGAGATCACCCTGTGCAACAGAAAGGCAGAGCTCCAGGGTGATTCAGTGTACTGAATTGTAGCTGCACTGGGTAGAAAATGAAACAGGATTTGCACAGCTCTCTGTTTCACAGAAAGCCAGTGGTGGGGCGGGGGACGGCAGATCTGGGTAACTGTTCACCCTCTGACATCAGAAACCTCCGATGCAGCACCCGAGAACGCAGCTGCAAAATCCCTGATCAAGAACATGAAGCTCCTTCCCGTCTTCACAGCTGCATCCTGCTTCACGCCCCCAGGTCCCCCTTTTTTTGTACTACGAGTGATGAAGGTTTTTTTCCGGATCACATGAGCCAGGATGAAGGGGGAAAATCCTGCCAGGAAAAGAGATGGGCTGCAACTTGAACCTGATCAAGGGGAGATACAGAGCAGCACCCTGAGAGCTATATAAGAATGGGCTCGGCACAAGAGCAAACACTTTTTCAGGCGAAGGACTTGCATGAGTCAGCCATGCATGTGAAGGAAGACTCCGTTTCAAGGGGGCTTGGAGCCACTAACAGAACATGTTTGTATTTCGTCATCGCTACCCTTGCTGCGTTACTCATCTTTGCATTAGCCACCATCATGGTCTTAGTCGTTCAGAGGATGGTAAGAAATTTCTTACTTTATTCATTCTCCCTTTCTACCCCTATCTCTCCTCCCCCCCCCCCCCCCCCCGTAGTGCTTTCCCAAAATTATCCTGTGGCCAGAAAACCAGCCACTGCCTCCTCTTATAAATGCACCCCCATGAAACAAAGAGGGAAAGAAAAGAACTTTCAACGTTCCTCCATGGGCAACATTAATTTCTAGCACGCAATTCCTCCTCTGTAAATGGAAGTGGAAAACTCACAATGTGAGATGCAAGTGACCCTCTGTCCTGCCTAGTTAGGACAAGAGGTGGAGAGAAGATGTAGTGCCTCAGTGTTTGCTACCTCTTTCTACATGTGTCTCAGTTCACTTCTTTGGAGAATGACCACTTTCTGAGGTGGTCTGGTCTGGTTTCTAGAGTCTACATGAATTCCTTTGAAATACTGATGAATTTCAGTAATGGATATACCAAGAGGCATCTCTGTGTGTGACACTGTGGATGCACCATGCTGTGGTGTGGCAGAACTCTCTTGAACTACCCAGGGCAGTGGATGTGGGCAGAGTAGCTCCCTTCTGCTCTCTTTTTTTTGTCAGTCCCATTCTTGGGTGGGATTTTTAACGCAAAACTATAGCTATAGCAGGGATGACTGAGGATGTAAGTGAGGCAAGATCTCACAGGGTCTCACAAAAACAGGTTACCTCTACCTACAGACATCTTTTCCTTCTTAAAATGAGGAAAATGGGTCTCAAGTGCACCTGGGGTTAAATGAGGAATCAGTGAGAAGTTACAGCCAGAGAAGAGGCACAGGTGGTTGTGAATACAAAAAAACTCATTTCTAATCTTACCAGGAGCATTGCCATGAACTTTACCGGAATGAAATGCCAGGTTAAACAATTTACAGGCTTTGAAATCTTACTGCAAATATCTAAGTGCTAAAGTACCACAACTATTCATAGACTAAAAGCACCAGTGTGGGGCTGCTGGAGGAAGTTGGCCAAGGAAAACAAAATACGATCTTTCAGCTCAGTGTTTTCTCTTAATAAATTAACCCTGTGCAATTTGTGTGCCTCTGTATGCACATTACCCAGAAATGAAACCATGAAGGCCTGACTGATATTTCTTTGTTGCACCTGAGAGGAGACATTTACCTGAAATCAGTGCTCTTCCAAAAGAGAAGCAGTTTGGGCACAGTGAAAATGAGACGTGGGGGTTTTCAAGTGACAAATAGTGGGACATTAAGGGAGTTCTTTAACATAACAGGCTGGATAATTACAGAATTGCCAAAGCTTCCCTATATAATGAGACTTTCATTTATACTTATTATGAAAGTAAGCATTAAATTACCTCTCCATCAGGATAAACACAGTTACACTATAGTTGCCAGAGGAACAATATTATTGAAAGAGTCAAGCTTTTCATTTAAAAGAGTAATGACATTATTGCAGCTGCTTTGGTAATGAGTTTGGCTGAAGGAGAAAGCAGGAAGCTGAGGTGTGTGAGGAACACAAATAAAATCAAGCATCAATTTTACACTGTGAGAGGAATTTGGCAGTAAAAGTATAACTTGTGTTCTTGCTCTCAGGGAGCTGAAAGACCCCCAGGTTCTGAAGCATCATAGTCATTCTCCATCCGTGCCTGGTTTTAAACTTCCAGACCTGGGAGCAAGTGTTGGTTCTGTGAGACAGGTTCCTCAAGAAACTCCAGGGCTTACTCCAAAACTACTTTAGCTCATGGTCACAATGTCAGTGTAAGGCTAGGCACAAACTCTTTTGGTAAATACAGTTGTGGCTGGGCTGAGCATTGTGTAGTATTGACTTCAGTAGTTCCACGACATGGAGTTTGGATGGTTCTTGTACCTGGAGCCCTGTAGACATTGAGTCTTACTGATGAAGGGATTAGAACATCATCAATTGGCTTAACTTTCTTTGTAACTTCTAAAGAGAGGACCAACATTTTGTGTGATCAGCCTCTTGGGAAGATCTGTTTTACTCTCCAGATGCTGTCAGCTGGATTATGTGAGTGGTCTTTGACCATGGGAGCAATGGTGGTAACTTCATGCCCTCCCTATGCTGAGCTAGCAACTTTTCCTCTGCTCAAAGGAGTGTTAGGTTAATGGGTCTTAGAGACAATGCAGGCCCTTGTGACCCATGCCTCAGGTACCACTGCATTAAGAGAAGGCTTCTGGTGGCAAGCAGTTCATACAGTCTCCTACCCCCACTGCAGGTATATGCAAGTCACTGCTTGTCTTCCTTTTGATGAATTTACACTTGCCTAGTTTAAGATGAAGGATGATGCATTAGAAAGTGAAAATCAAACCGTGTAGAAACAAGGCAATGGCCTCATCCAATATCTGGGTGCTCTGAATAAAAGGAAATCCAACATGAAAGACCAAAACAAAAAAAAAAAGCAACTATGATTCCAGAGCTTCTCTGAATCGAACAGCATTGAAAATACACATTACCACCCTCACAAACACACCCCCATTTTCCAATACGCCAAGAACTTTCCTTTACACCTTGTTTTTCAGACCTCAGCAAATCTTACACTGTGCTGCAAGGAATGCTGTATCAGACACCTAAGCCACCTACCTCTATGAACAAATTCTGTGTGAACGTCCAAAGTCTGTAATCTGGGACAGTCCATCACTGCTCTGGATCTTGTAGACTTCATATTTTTAACCTCCAAACTGAATGGGCAAATCTTTTCAGCACCATTAAGGCACCAGGGTGGCAAATGCCAAGAGCCAGTGCAGTTACTTCCATTTGCTGATCTAGTTTTCAAGGCTGCTGGAGTTAAAAATGTCAAATCCTTTTAGCAGTGGGGCTGTTGTAACCAGAAATTGCTCCTAGAGCACCCAGTACGATACAACCTATAGCACCTAGTATGATAACAACGCTATCAGTGATTTATGTCTGCTCAAAGATAACCTCGTCACGCACTGCCCCACTCGGTGCCTATTGGCCCCCTCTGGCGGGCAACCCTGACAAATAGGAAAAGGTGAAAACCCCAAACACCAGCTATTGCCCCGAAAGCAGATTTCCACTCGCTGAACACCACAGGAAAACCACTGAGGCATTTTAGATAAGAAAATGCATTGTTCCAACGCTTGCTGTCAGTGTTGTGTACAGTGACAGTCACCTGCTGCATGGAAGGGGCACTTTAATAGGGTTTGTCAGGACTGGAAAAGCTGCATTTCACACAGGGCTCTGTTTCATAGGATCAGTGAGGTTGGAAAAGGCCATTAAGACTATGAAGTCAAACTGCTCCCCAGCACTGCCAAGGCCACCACTGACCCATGGCACTGAGGCCTCGTCTCCACGCTGTGTGAACACTTGCAGGGACGGTGACTGCAGCCCTGCCCTGGGCAGCCTGTTCCAATGCCTGAGCACCCTCTGGGGCAGGAATTGTTCCTCAGCTCCATCTAAACCTGCCCTGGGGCAGCTTGAGGCCGTTTCCTCTTGTCCCATCCCTTGTTCCTTGCAAAAACGTAGCAGCCACCTCCCGTCTCCATCCTGCAGTGATGTGATACTCCTTACGAGATCAGCTGTGGGGACGGTGCTCCACTTCCTGGTGTTTTCAGTGTCAAGTTTCTAGCTTTTCCTCTTGGACAACCACCTCAAGTGCCACCTCCTGCCTTCCCGCTCAGCCAGAAATGTGTAATGATGGCTGGAGGCTGAGCAAGAGACACAGGAGATCCTTGAGGCTCTTCTTCAAGTGGCAAAACTTCCTTTGAGGGCAGCAGCCCAAAAAGCTTGTTCCCACAGAGCCACTGAGTGGACATGCTCTTGGGAGAGCCCTGGACCTTGTTCAGCTGACCCCAGGCCAGTTTATAGGGGCTGTGATTTGGAGGTGTGTTTTCTTGGGCTTTCTAGAAGCAGATACATACTCCAGTATGTTAAATGGTTAAATGACTACTCAGGGTTCTAACACGGAACACGTCCCTTTAGCAGCACCAATCTGACTCAGCCTGGGAAAAGTTCTTGTAAAATAAGGCAAAAGAAGAATGGAATAACCTTCACTGGCACCTGATTATCATTTTCTCTAATGAAGCAAACTCAAACCATGTTACTTGCTGAGAAAAGACTGAGATCCTTCAGCAGCAGCACCCAGCTCACTCCACACAGGGGGAAATTCATTGTCATGCACCCTGCCTGAGCTGGCACTGTAGAACTGAATTTCTCTAGGTTCCTGCTGCGTGCCGCTTTGCATTCCAAATCACAGCATTGCAAGCAAAGTTTTTGCTGTCAGAAAAGGAAGAAGTAGTGCCAGTAATATTTCAAAGCAATCTGTAAAGCTCTATTTGAATATCTATTCAATTGTCACTAAAATAAATTGCATTAGTATCTGCTGTTTCCACCCCCTGGGAGACTTCTCAGGTGAGAACACAATACATTAGTTCGTTTCTGTTGTCCTGACTCCAACGCAAGCTGCGAGCCATCAGCCTTGTCCTGCAGGCCACCTCCAAGGGAGGTGCAAGATGAACACCTCATTGATGAAAAGGGTTCAATCAGTTTACCAAACACTTCTCAGCTGCCTGCTTTCATTTAGCATAATGTATCTGGGGACAGAGCGTCTCCATGCAGAAATGCCTTTAGCTCTCTGCAGAGGGCAGACATGCTCATACATAGCATTGAGAAGCAAGGCTTCCCTTCGCCCTGAGCGCATGTGAGAGGGATGTTCCAGTGCAAGAGTCCAAGACAGGAGCTGAGATGCTCCTTGGGAGCATTTTCAGCAGTCTGTTCTCAGTCCCACGTTTGATGATATGTGTGCATAGGATCCATAAAAGTTTGCAAGGGAGGAGCTCGGAAATGCCTGGTTTTCCAAACTACAGCTTCAGGTTCCTATTCTTCTAACCCAAAGACCTTCCTGCCCAGTTTAGGAAGATAACCTGGAGAATTATTATCTCCACAAATAACTTCTCCCCTGTCGTACATGGGTGTGGGGAGAGAAAATGAACAAATCACGTATTACAGATACCCACATCATGAAGCGCCTATGCCATCTGTCTGCAGGACACAGCATTTTGGTATTAGACCGAAAGATAGTGCTGCTTTGCTGGAAGCAGATGCGGCTTGACTCTTCAGCCACGGTTGAAAACATAGCCACATTAGGCCAATGTCTAATTAAAATACTGAAGGCTAGAACATTAAATACAACAAATACACACAATCTGACTTCTCTCACTGTCCAACCATCTTCCTTCTCCGTGTGTTATCCTATTTACACATGGAAATAGTGCTTATGGACCACTGTGAAGTTGTCTCCCACCACATACATGGTGTGCCTCATTTCTCTAAGGAGATATTACTGTTCTGCTAAATCTGGTACCAGCTTCCCAAATTTCTTTTTGGGCATATAGATGCCACTGAAACAGGCTCCCCAGGAGAGTGTTCACAGCACCAAGCTTGTCAGAGCTCAGGGAACACCTGTACAATGCTTTTAGTCATTTAACTAAATTTTAGGTAGTCCTGTGAGGAGCAGAAAGTTGGACTTGATCCTTCAGGGTCCCTTCCAACTCCAGATATCATACAATTCTATGATTCCATGCTAAATAAGGCCTGGCCTCATTCGATTACACAACTAGCCCAGGTAATTGGTATCCACATAAGAGGAGCTGGTTTAGGCTAGCCTGAGGAAAAACCTCTCCCTGATACTGAAGTCACCATGGGACTGCCTGCGTTAGTGAGTGCAGGAATATGACAGAGTTTCAAGCACTCAGGCACTCTCAGTATCTTTCCTCAGTATCTTTTCTTCCTGTTGGAAGAATTTCTTTGCTCCCTGAGGGCAATTGCTGGGTGTTTACAAGCTGTCAGTGACTTCACTTGTGTGGAGGTAATACGCAAGCGAGCACAGGTTTCAGGGTTGTACCTTTGGATGGCACAGAGGTGTGATGAAATAGAAGCAAGACCACAATGAAGCCTACCATATTCCTCACTTGGAGCTTGTTTCCCGAGATGTTCTCAGGCCACGCTGACTGAGGACAACTGCCTATTCTGAACAGTGGGTTTGCATCCCAGCAAGGAGTAGGAGGGAGGTGAAGCAGGACAACACCATCACTCTCCCACCTTGGGCTCTACATCTTTTACTTTCATCCAGCTACTAGCTTCCTGGGGGCAGATATTGACTTTCTAGGGTTACAAGTCCCATTCTGTCCTGCTCTCTTCAAGCTTTGCAAGCCACAGAGTGAGGTTTCCAGGGCTTCAAAAACCCAACTGCACTGAGAGAATTGCTTTCTCTGTTAGAAATTTAGATTTTCTACATTAGAAAAAAAGGGCTGTGATGAGGTACGCCTGAGGGTAATTTTTGGAGGATCGGCAGAGAGCTTCCCAGAGCTGTTTGCTCCACAGGAATCCCTCACTCACCTGTGAGGCCTTATAGGACCCATAAGCTCTGTAGCAGCTGGCACTGGCTCCCTGCACATCAGGCTCTGTATTGCCTACATGGCATGCAATAGAAACTATTACAATCCACTTTTAAAGCAAGGTTGTACTTGAAGATGGATGTAACTCATGGAATAACCATCCTTTCTTTGCTTCTTTTTCAGGCAGTGGATCCTGCCACAGAGGGCATTGCAAAACCATTCAAGACAGGTAAGATACCTAAACAGTACATGTGATCTGTCTCATCTGTAAGGCAAATATTGCCCAGCATCCCAAATAAGCCAATTACTCACATTTTAACATTTCAGCCTTGGATAATCTTTTAATCTGATACTCTTCTGTATTGGGCTTGTTTCATAGCTCACAAGTCTCAAGGTAGTCGCTGCATGTCCTTCCTGAGAACTTCCCATCATGCCTGACCATCTTTTTTTCTGTTTTAAAATTCCTGTAATCTGGGGGGATTTTCTTTTCCCCAGGACATCCTAAGCACATACTGCTTTCTATCAACCAAAGTAGCTCCTTACAACTTTGTAAGTCTTTCTTAAGTTTTTTAGTGGTTTATTGTGCATGAAAAGTTCCTCAGAAATAAAGCAGCTTCTGAACACAGCCCTACTCTAATGCATCCCAAAAGGCGCCCAAAAAGGAGCTTTGCAAACTCAGTGGGCTGCAAGGCATCAGCCTCTCTGCTCTTGGTCCCCCGAGATGGTGGAAAGTCCCCAGCGCTGGAAGGTGGTATGGACCCCGGAGCAGAGCCTCTCTCTTTAAACCAGCATAAACTCAGAGATGTCACCAGAACTGTGCTGGTTTTCATGGCTGTTTTACCACCATTAGGAGGAGATAGTGAAAGCTGTGGGTGTGGACCCTGGTCAATGACAGAGGAAGAGTCACAGATGCTGTATCTGTAGGTCAGTGTTTTTCAAAGCAAAGCATTGACCAGCGATACTGGTATTCCCAGGGCAGGGAGGAATGATCTCACTAACCCAAAAGTGCATTGCAATATACATACACGTATACATATATATGTACGTATTTTATACCATGCAACCTATGCCAATTGCTTTTTCTCCTCCTCACTAGTGGGCAGGTGCCAGGCAGGAGGAATGTGTTTTTTCCAGGAATGTACAAGATGCTGTTTTCATTAGCCAGAAACCTTTCTGTCTTCGGGTCAATATCAGTACAGACACCCTCTTGCTCTGAAAGCAGCTGTTACATCTGAGATGATGCCATTAGTGAGAGACAAAGGAGAGAACGATAGAGAAACCCCACAAGACAGGAACAGTTGAAAGCCGTTTGCAATGTGTATAAGGGCTCTATCAGCCTCCCCCTCGCTGCCTATCAGTGTTTGCTGTATGTCTCTGGCAGGGTAATAGAGCACTGAAGAGTGAGGGAATTACAACGGCCTTTTATTTTCCTCTTAAAATGTATGGAGCAGGGCTAATGGGTTAATACATCCCAGTGGGTACTTTACTGAGGTTCCCTTAGCAGGGAGCTCTACCATGTGCTGCCAGGCACTGCTTGCTGATTTCTAAGCAAGGAGCTGTGGTGACCATTGCAAGGTCCCAAGCAGCAGTTGTGGAATAGGAAGAAACAGAAGCATAAGAGATATTGCAGGGAACTGTGGTGAGGCTGAAGTTGCTGTGGATTTAGGTTTGGATTTGGGTCTGCCTCTCAGGCAGCCCTGATGCTTGTGGAGTGGTTTGGATGTATTTTGTACCTACCCTGTTCAAACCAGGGCTTCCAAGCCCTGCATTGTAAAAACTGGCAAGCTAGCAAAAAGTTAGTGTTGCTGAGTTGCCAGCTGGGTGCTCAGCCTTGCTCCAGCCCTGTGTTGGTACCTACTGGTGTGAAACATCTCAAAGATGCGAGTGGAGGACGCAGGACTGCGCTAGTGGGAACAGCTAGGGTTCACTAAGGCAGAGATTGCTTTGTAGCACAAAGGGACGGTGGTCTGAACACAGCTACATCTTGGAGTTAATCCTGTAATATTAAAGCAGGAAACCCACAATGATTTCATTTAGATCCCCAATGAGATTATGTTGTATGAATAGCTAAATGCCAGTGGGCACTAAAGCAGATCTACAGGTTTACATTCCTGACTCATCATTTAGTCCTCAATGGATGGGTTTGCAGGTATCCCCAAGCACGATGCAGTATCACCTAAATGTCTGTGCGAAAAAAGGCACGTCTCCTCCGATCCTCTGTGCTGTTGTCAGTGGAGTACCTGAGCAACAGGGGGAAAGACTGAAATTCATCATGAATTTTGTTTGTGAAATGTTCTTCCTGTGGAAAATATTTCTGTCATCCACATTTGGATGAGAGATGGAACTCATCCACATTTCATAAATATCAAATCATACATTAATATGGGAGAGACAGGTGTTATTGTAGGGTTCATTTTTTAGAGGGAAATCTAAGTCACAGAGAAATTTATCACCTGACAACATCTGGAGAGGTTCAGCCTTCATCAGCTCCTTGCTGTCTTCTCCAAGCCTCATTTCCCTATAAATGTAATCCTGCCCGGATGGCTTTTCTTGTTATTTTGAGCTGCAAAGACAAAATATCAAAACATCTTATTTATAAAGGAAAACCCTGCAGCTGCATAAGCACATGCTCACACACTGTTTACAGGTATCTTTTTCTGGTGGTAAGATCCATTGGCAGTTGGTGGGCAGAGCAGGAAAGGAAACCCCACACCCCATTCACAGTTTCAATGGGAAATAGGTTCCCAAATAAAACTCTGGCTTTGAGAAAGTACTGTAATACAGGTGCCATTCCCATCCTTGCTACCCTGGAGTAAACCAGGCTAAAGCCGGTGAAGCAAACAAGCCCTTCCAGATTTGCAGCTCTATCTGACTGCAGTTTGGCCTTCTGCAACTAAATCTGGTCTCTTCCAGCTTGGAACTGTCCCAGTGCAACACTAATGAAACTGTGAGTTGTTAGTCACAAGTGCCATGATGGTGGGCTCTTCAGAAGTAGATATTTCATGTTTAGACTGTAGAGATTTTTGCTTTCTCAGCTTCAGCATACGTATGTGTTTGTGTGCATATATGTGGAACTGTATGAGGTTCCGTCTACTCTGAGATGAGGGCAATGAGCTGTTTCTCAGTTTGAAACATTTTGCCAAGCCTGGGTTTGCAAATGCTAGAAAGAGAGCACAGGCAACCTCTGGGGCCAGCATCCAGAGCAAACTGCAGCTAGGCAGATTCCAGGTAGTCATAAAGGGGGCTGTTTGCTTTCTTAATTCATAATGAGATTATCAGTATTGCTCAAGATGCAGAATGTTAGATCTTCCACCTCTCCAATACTTAAAATGCAAGTTAGAGATTAATACATATATGGAGAGATTAACAGCTCATGAAATTATGTGGCCTTAGGCTACAGAAGCCTGAATAATTTTGGCCTTTATCTCTACATGTTTTGTGGTATCGGGTGTGCAGTGATGAGATTGTACTGAGTGCTTCCTAAATTTGGAGGACAGAAACGGATACTTCTAAAGTTTATGACTTTTGGAAGAAGGTAAAATTGGCAGTGAGTTCAGCGCCATTTCAATGCACAGGATCAGAGTGACAGTCCTTGGGCTCTCAAGGACCAAAGGCACTTGGTACATGTGTGACAGCATCGCTCAGCTGGCACAGTCCATCAGTGCCAACAAGCAGCTGTTTGCAGGACACTGAACTGGAAGGAGAGAGCTTAAGACAGCTACAGGGACTTCTTACAACAGCTGCTGAGACACAGCATTAAGCAAGTTCTGCTAGCTCTAGCGTGCTGACAGAGGTGTGAAATCATCTTGCCTAATTTTACAAGCACTTAAATCAACGCGGGGTATGGAGGAATTGAAAGCTGTTTGTTGCCAGCCTGTACTTCTTTACTTCATAAAATAAGTTCAGGTTCTTGTCCTGCTTTTGTGCCTGCTCACACTCAGCCTCCAGCTAGTTGTAATGACATAGATGCTGCAGAGGAATCCCATAGTAAGAGATGACAGCTACTAAGACAAGCTTCAGAAATCACATTTGAGGGGCTTTCCATGTCAGAGTAGCAAGTTTTTGCACTGTGGCATGCCACTTTCAGCTGCTGGTTTCACCGCCCTTTGTCTGTGCTCCCATTATACTCAACTGAAAGTTGGGAAAACTGAGGCAGTGAGGAGATTTCCACAGGCATCACAGGGATGGTGGCATCAGGCATCAGGAGTGCAACATCTTGCACCTGGCTGGCCGTAGCCCATAGATCCACGTGTCCCACAGACCTTGGGTTCCTCCTGGCTGGACAGGGTCCTGCTGTGTTTTGATGTTTCTTGTTTGTCTACAGGAAACCTGGAGAGGGGCTTTGGACAAGGGCCTGTAAGGACAGGCCAAGGGGAATGGCTTTAACCTGCCAGAGGGGAGACTGAGATGAGCTCTTAGGCAGAAGCTCTTCCCTGTGAGGGTGCTGAGGCGCTGGCACAGGGTGCCCAGAGAAGCTGTGGCTGCCCCATCCCTGGCAGTGTTCAAGGCCAGGTTGGACACAGGGGCTTGGAGCAAGCTGCTCTAGTGGAAGGTGTCCCTGCCCGTGGCAGGGGTTGGAGCTGGAGGAGCTTTAAGGTCCCTTCAACCCTGTCCATTCCATGGTTCTATGATGAGGCTCCTTCCGTTTTGCAGTGCAGGTGAGGCTGCAGCTCCTCTGAGTCCCATTTCAAAGTCCCCTTTGGCTCAGTGAGAAAAAGCTGCACTAAGCTCACAGAAATAGTCTGGGCCTTTTCCTCATGGTTGCACCCTCTGGATGCTCATCCTATGGTAAAGGGATGAGGAAGACAAGAGTGAATTATCTCCTGGTACTTTCTTTAGGGCAAAATAGTCTAAATGGCTTTCTACTAAGACTCCTTCCTTACTAGCAGGCTTCCTTAAAACAGCCTAGTCTACACTGTCAGACAACAAAACCAGTGAGGTCTCCTTGGTATTTCATCCTGAATGTGACTTTACTTTTCCTCTTCCTCTTGTTTTTTTTTAAGTCATATAATCCTATTGACTTCAGTGGGATTACTTCAGATTTACAATTACCAGTGCAAAGCAAATTAGAGGATATGATTGAATATATGCATCAATCAGGCCTGAAACTGGAGTAATTTCTGCCTCTCTTGGCTGGTGCCAAAATGCTACTTTGCTCCTTGAGAAATAAAACAAGAAAATAGTTATTAGCTGCCTTAGCAAAGTGAGAGCCGGAAATGTCACATCTTTTTCCATAACTTGCCTTCTCAGAAACACAGCTGATGTCATCAAATAAGTGCTTTATACACACACACACACACAACTTGCTGACATCAATAAATGTAAGTACAGCTTTGGAAATGCAAAGCGTGGCTAGCTCAGTGAGGGGCGAGTCTTGAGTGATGCCAAGACTCTCTCGAGACAGCTCATGACTGCTGGGGCTCCTGGTTACATCAGGCTGTTTGTAGAAAGTACTGTAATACAGGTGCCATCCTTGCTACCCTGGAGTAAACCAGGCTAAAGCCGGTGAAGCAAACAAGCCCTTCCAGATTTGCAGCTCTATCTGACTGCAGTTTGGCCTTCTGCAACTAAATCTGGTCTCTTCCAGCTTGGAACTGTCCTAGTGCAACACTAATGAAACTGTGGGTTGTTAGCCACAAGTGCCATGATGGTGGGCTCTTCAGAAGTAGATATTTCATGTTTAGACTGTAGAGATTTTTGCTTTCTCAGCTTCAGTACCTGTATGTACAGCATTTTGCTTGCTTCAGGAGACACTGCAAGGCTGCAACTCCCAAAGGCTGCTTGAGCAGCAGGGGATTTTCTGTTTTATAGGGTGAACTCTCTAAATGCCACTGAGTTTCTGTCCTTCTTGCAGGACGCTTGTAGTGGGAGCGGGCTCAGGGTGCTGATTATGCATGACCAGAGACTGCTGTTACCACCCTAACAGCTTCAGTTGGAAATAAGGGCCAGAAGGGTTTTCTCCTACCCTATGACCTCTCTCCACATCACTACAACACTACATTGACATGACTAATATCAGGAAAGTTGGCTTTGGTTTTTCTTTGGGGATTTCCAGCATGGTCAAGGGACTTTGATATGTGACTTGCTCAATCTTGGAGTGCAGTGACAACCTGTTTCCCTCTAAAGTGTTTAAACTGCTAAAAACAGAGACAGATTGCAATTCTTTCAAGACATCCTCAGCCTCCTTCTCCAACAGTGAGTGCAGAAGGTGCAACTTTACAAATCACCAACAAGGGGGACTTGAGGGGACCAGCTTCTCCCTGATCTATCCCTCCTGACCAAGTGCTTCTTAGAAATCTGGCCATGCAGATAATGCAAGGGTCTAGAGATCTGAATTCTTTTTTTGACCCTTAGTTTAAGGAATCCTGTAAAACTTCAGATCCTTGCCTCACTGCATTTAGTTGACTCCTTCTCATTCATGTAAGGAACATGAAATATGTTATCTGATGTCATGGAGTAGCACCAAGATGTACTAGAACTTAGTTTGGTGTATTAACCCATCCTTCAGAGATGCTGGAGATGAGTGACTCTAATAGTGATGTTATCAACTGAGTCACAGGATTTCCACAGTCATTGTATACCATGGGAGAGGGAGTTGCAAGCACAGCCGGGAGATGTAAAGAAGAGCCAGAGCAATGAGAAATAACCATCCACCCTGTCTGGTTGCAAACACTGGGATATACGCTGCTTTTCTGAGCCTGTATCTTGTCCCTGTATCCGTGTGCCTGTGGGCTGCACAGGACAGGGCAAACTGCTCTATACAATCACAAAATAACAGAGGAATAATCAGCTCTCCTGCATGCTACTCAAGCTACTGTTGCTTGTTGCTTTGGAGCTGCTGCTGTGGGATTTGTCCATAGCACAGTTCTAGCAAACACATGAGATGCCAAACGCTGACAGCTTTTTACAGTACAAAACCAGCACGAGTGGTCACTTAATCTGTTGTTTCCCTCAGGGAACACCTCCGAAGACTATTTAAGAATCCTACAGAACGTCCCGACCGAGGGAGCGGCTGCGTACATGAGAGGTCAGTGGGGAGTTCAGTGCTGGCAAGGAAAGGTGGTTGAAGAGCAGGCTGTTTGCTACTCAAACTGGGCTTAGTGGCAAGTGGCTTTTTGACCTAATGGATATTTTATAGGTAAAAACATTCCTAGCGTTCCTGAAATGCGGGTGTCTTGGGTAAAGCCCCTCTCTGGCCACAGAAATTCTGTTTTTTAACTTGATAAGGAAAAATCAATAAGTAGATACATTCTGCACACAAACACATGAATACACCTCTGTTATTTCCATTCAAGTATTGCAGAAGGCCATTTTGACTGCATCTCCCTGGGTTTCCCAAGGGCTCTGTAGGTCCTTGGAACTCTCTAACACCCCACTTCCATGTGTGAACTCCCAGTCATCTGGCCAGGGCCTTTTTTTGGAGCTTCCTATGGGAAAACCACTGAAGAGGTATCTGTTTATCAGGAAACACACTGCTGCAGGTCACCTAAGGCTGAATTCAGGTCAGTAGAGTTCAGCAGCTCATTTTAAAGTTTGTTTGCCTTCCTTTCTAGTGTTCAAGCAAGTAAACAGTTCAAAACTGAGCTTGGTTGAGAAGGGCATTTGTGAAGACATCCAGTGCAAGAGAGAAGAGCTGGTGATAAAGAAACAAGGCCTCTACTTGATCTATTGCCACTTGAACTTTTATTTCCCCAGCTGGTCAAACAGTCCCACCGACCTCAAGATAGAGCTCCTTGTGAATGACCAAGTCAACAGGCAAACGTTATCCACATGGTGCGCCTCCGAAACGTGCCACAAGAAGACTTTTAAGACCTTGTTCCAGCTCCATTTGACACCCCTTAATGTGAAGGACCGAGTATCAGTAACACTCAATCATCCTAAATTCTTAAATGAAATTTTTCTTCCCAATGAAAATGTTCTTGGGGTCTTGAGGTACAGTGATGACATGTGAGCAGCTCTCTGACTTCCCACTGCTGCCCAGATTGATCTTTCCCCGAACGAGAGTAGTCTGTTTTTATTAGGCAACACCTTTAGGAGCTTTGTGAGTATCCCAGAACAAACCCTAAAACACTGCAAAACCCACACCTGACAGATTCTTCTGGTGTGATTTGGGGTTGGATTGTTGTTGGACTACCCAGTATACAACCCACATACCTGACAATGGTTCCTCAAAGCAATACTGTGTAAACCCAGATTAAAACATAACCAGATTATGGGAAGAATACACAATATTGAGACTTGTTGGGTAATGGACCATTGGCAAGGTGCCTGTGCTCAGGAGATGGGGGAATCTTTTTAACTGAATTTTATGGAGTAGTATTTTGACATGGACTTACCAAAAAACTAACAATCAAAGCTTGTAATCTGGGTTTTCTTTACAAGAACCTTGAAACCGTAACTCTGGAGTAGGTTTATGGATAGAATGTATGAAAGCAAAGGCAACGGTATTATTGACTTTCAAGCTAAAACTCTGGGACAAGACACAGAAGATAGGGGATTTACAGGATATTTCTGTGCTGCATCCTGCTATGGACTTTGTGCAATTTATTTCCAAGTGCCTTCTTTTTCACTATTTAACCATCTTTTCAATTTAAATATTAAGCTGTTTGGGGCAGAGACTGTGTATATGCGCAATGCTCAGTCTCTGGTCTCACCTGGGGTTGCTAGACCTTTTCATAACAAATATTAGAACAGTAATCTAGTTGCAGATCTAGCCACATAGCTAAGCTCATCACTGTATGTTTTCCTTGAATCCTGTCCTGCCTGTTTGACAGAGCCCTGCATGACAGCAGGCCACACTGGTGTGGAAAGACACCTCTAATGCTTTCACCTTCTGAAAAGCCAAGATTTATATCTGAGGTCCAGACTTTCCCAAAAACAACTTCAGGCTTGGCTCTCAGCCAGGAGCTGTGGAGTTTGTGCAGTCCAGAGGACAGATATTATCTGAGCTTCTTTGGTTTAGTTGAATCCTTAGATAATGAAGGATTAAAGAGTAATCTCAGGCTCTCTTAGTCTATGAATTGCAGTAACACAGGTGTGTATTTGAGATTTAATTATTACAGTGTGAAGATAGGATCAAAAAGTTACAAAAGCTGGTACCAGTTCACTGCTTTCTCTTTTCCCTTCATCCCTGAGATCCTACTAGGGTCTATTTTCACTAGTATTCAAGTTTTTCCCCTTGTGTTCTTGTATCTTCTTTCCTTTACACGTCTAGAGATCAGTGGACTGTTCACATCAAAATATTTAGTCACAGATTTAGTTTCTAGCTTCAGAAACGCAGTGTCTTCTTATTCAAGCTTAGTTGATGTTGTCAACCGAGGTAGTTTAGTTTGCATGAGCACACTCAAAAATACTCCTAATAGCAGTAATCTGTTAACTGTGCTATGTCACCAGAAACTGATGGTACAGCATGGTGAGGTTTCATCCCATTGACCAGCTGACTTCAAAATACACAAGAAACTTTCAAAGCGCTCATGAGCAATCGGCAGGATTCATTGCTAGAGATACTGTTTTGATGCACATAGAATTATAGAATGGTTAGGGTTGGGAAGGACAAAAATTCCTTTTGCTATTAATGTGGGGAAAAAAGGAAACAAGAAAACTAAATCCATGTTTTCTTTCTTTCTTTTCCCCTTACAGAAAAGGCTTATCTTGCCTATGACATTATAACCTCCACTGAGGTCTTCTCACCTCCCTAGGCCCTATAAATCTTTCAAGTCTATGAATAAGGTTTTTAACCTTTGTCTGCCTTCACCTCGATGCACACAGTGGGTGCCCAGAGAAGTTTAAGCGAGCCCAGCAGCCAGGAATCATAGCTCCTGAATATAGAAAAGGCAGCTAATGAATGAAGATATGCATTTACTCACATGTAACGACCCACTCCCTTTTCCTAACAGCTTTGAATAGAAAAAGAAAGACCATTCTTAAAAAAAAAAATAAAAAAAAAATCAGTGCTCTGCATAGGATGATTTTATTCTATTATTTTACCAGATGGAGAAAATCCTAACAAAGCAGTGCTAAGCTTCTCAGCCCTAGGCTTTTTAATACCACAGGATAAAGCAATCTGGCCTCTACTCTGTTGTCTCTGAGAAATAAGAATAAATTATAGCCATAAAGAGAGCCCATTAGTAGTGTGCAATTTTGCCATCAGTTAGACAATGTTAAATTCCTTCCAGTGAAACAAGACACTGAGCCAGCAGCAGCCTCCATGCTTCCTGGCAGACTCCAAGACACTTCACTCTTTCATCCTTTTGCCTTTGCTTATTTCCTAGTGTTTTGAAGAAGGTCATTTTGGACAAAAATCCTATACTACAAAGGAGTCCAAACTGACTCTTCACACAGTGTGGTCCTTTCAGCAACATCAGCAGCAATTCACTTTGGGGAACAACCCATTTCCATGGTCTTATCTTCACCACATGCAGCAGATAAGCTTTTCTACAGGAGGGTCCTCACTCTTCTGAGTAGCACCTCAGCCCTAGAAGCCCTGCTCTGGTTTCCCACCACAGGGCTCAGCCCATAAGGAAAGGGGCACTACTGAAAGCCCTGAAGTCATGGAGAAACTCTGAAAACCCCTCCCCTTGCCCTCAGATGTGGCAAACGTGTGGCTTGCTGTGCATAAGCTCTATTGCTAACCTGACCAGAAACAGGAAGCATTGGCAATCTCACAAGCAAGTCTGCTCTGTTGAGGTTTCTTGGTCCATTGCAGACACCAAAAAAGCGACATCGTTAAACTGTTTTCTGCCTGGCTAAGGAGTATCTGTAGGTGTTAATGTAAGCCATTGTTTGTATATTGGTGGGTAGGAAAGAATGTGTGGTGTTGGCTTAATTCTGGCTGTTGTTAATTGCTAGAGAATATTTTTCATAGGGACCTAAATGGAAGATAAGTCAATGCAGTTCACTTCCAGCCAAGCTCACCCGGGGGCAGCAAATCAAAATCAGATCAAGTTTAGTTTAGATGATAGAGTCGGATCTGAAGTTCGCCCGAACTGTCAAGACTTTGAAACCAGGATTGCAATTAAACTTCACAAGGCTTGGTGACACCTCCCATGAAATTAGTCTGACCCCAGACTCCTCAAAGCTCAGATCTGAAAACCAGTCACAGCTTATCTGACACAGATTCATTATTTAGGCTGTGCAACTGCCTGCAGAGGGACTCGGGAGTTTTGCACTCACTTCAAGTCTGGTTTAGTTTCATTTCACTCTCCTCAGCACTTCCTACAGGCAGGAAATATCACAGTCACTGAGAGAGAAATCCTTCACTGCGCCATGGGCTAACCAGGGGCTCTGTGTTGCCTAAAAATGCACAGGAGTCCTATTTTAAAGATCCCACTCAGATCAATAGCGCATCAGCCTTCTTCTGCAAGGCAACTACCTGACTCAGCAGTCCTCTAATGCACTCAGATTCCTTTGGAGAGCAAACACCATTCTGCAGAACCTTTGCCACTTGCTCTTAAATTCCAGTTATTATTCTTTGTAATGTAATAGCATTACAAAGATACAAAAATTACAAGCAGCTATATTTTTCCCTAAGTGAAAGTAAGAAAGAGATTCTACAGCTCAACTAACCAACCAAAAAGTGAAATAAGTAAGAAGCCTTCACTCTGGGGGAGCTCTAGCTGGGCCTTACTCTCTGGTCTTCAAAGACTGGAAAAGGTACAACTTGTGTTTGGTATGAATAGCAAGGAAAAAACTCAAAGCAAATGCAGCTTCTGTCAGAGGAATAACTGTAAATATTCAAAGTCTCACAAACACTTGTGATACCAGGAGTTGCTCTCAGTGACCTCAAAATGTCATCCAGCCTCTGCTTTTTATGCTTATAATAGGTTCAATTTCAAGAGAGTATTATAGATTGTGAGGATACAGGGAAATATGTTTTGGAAGACAGCATTCTGCTGCCAGCCCCCCAGCCCAGGAGCTCAGCTAAAGCAGTTTAAATTCCCAGTTTCCCTTTCCAGTACTGATCCCAGGAGCTTGAAGATGTGGGATGGAGGACGGTAGAGACGAAAGAAGTGATCCAGGTGCTTCCAAGGAGAATGGAAGTGGTGAGCACCCAGAGCCCAACATTTGCATCAGGGCCACATGCAACCCCTCCACAATCAGCATCCCCTTTGGGATGCAAAGAGCTCACTGCAGGCAGCAGCCACCCTCCTCTGCTGTAAGACGAAGCTGTTGTACACCATGGGTAAAGTCATCAGTTCTTCCCGAGATGCTGTATTCCACAGTATTGGCGCACACCATTTCCCTTCAACCATGTTGACAGAGTCTAAATTTAGTATCCCTATTTCTCTCTATAGCCTGTGTGATGCAAGAGCTTCCAGGAGATGAGTCAGAGAACCACAAATAGCTGTCTAGATAAAAGTCAACTGCTGAGTCTTTACACAGACCTGTCCTTGGAGTCCTCAGTTTTCATTCAGTTAACACAAAACCCCAGAACGGTTGGGGTTGGATGGGACCTCCTCAGATCCTGTAGTCCAACTCCCTTGCTAAAGCAGGTTCACCCAGAGTAGGTTGTAGAGATCATGTCCAGGTGGGTTTTGAATACTTCCACAACCTTTCTGGGCAGCCTGAGATGCTCTAGTACCCCGATCATCTCTGTGGCCTCCACTGGTGAGGCCACATTCAGCCAGTTCTCAATCCACCTCGCTGTCCACTCATCTAACTCACACTTCTGAGCTTACATCCATGAGGATGTTATGGGAGACAGTGTCAAAAGCCTTGCTGAAGTCAAGGTAGACAACATCCCCTGCTCTCTCTCATCTATCCAGCCAATCGCTCCATCATAGGCGGCTATCAGATTGGTCAAGCAAAGATGATGAATTCAAGACAAATAAAAGATCATTTAATCTGTGGATTGATAATTTATGGACTCTTTCTACTAATAATTTATGGGCCCTTTCTACAGCTTCTCCAGCAAGATTTGTATGGAAAAACACAAATGGCAAGTAAAAAACTGATAAATTTATGGATGCAAAAGAATAAGATTTGTTTGCTTAGGTCATTTTCGTTCCCACCAGCATTTATTGCTTTGCTTGGACATGTCCAGACCTAATAGAGGGAAAGCAAGATTTTGGAATCAGGCACCAATTCAGTACTTTGGGTTTGAAGTGACTGTTTTCTCACCTAAAACTGTTTAAATATTTGACAATTTCATTCCTTCAGCTTATGTATTTTTAATGTCCTTGGGTTTCTATGATTCTGCTTCTTCCTCTCTTTGCATCTATTTTTCAGTTTCTATTTCTGCATAAAAGTGGATAAGAAAAAGCAACTAAATTGTAAAGTAAAGGAGGGAAAAGGAAGGAAACCAAAGCAGCATGAAGAATTGGAAAAAAACCCTGAACCTGTTTCACAGTTAAATGAACTCTACAGAAATTCTAACTCAAAGGGTGTTAGTGGTGATTGGCATATGCAACAACCTGAAAATAGGTATTTCTACAGCTGACGCTTTAGAGGAAAAATAAGTTTAATTCTTAAAAATAAGAATTTTATGCATTTTCTTAATACTTTCTATGAATGTAATTCCAGGGGCTTCAAGCAAGCTCCTGAAGCTTGACAGTGGTAGAAGAACATAACTTTTGCCTCTGGCAAGCAGAATTCTGTGCAGTATAGCAGAACCTTTATATTTAAAGGGTATTTTTTTCATGTATAAACCCGACTGTGTTGTGAGACAATTCACTGGGGGCTTTAGCAACAGAAAATGAAAGGTTAAAATAATTATGTCATGTAAAATGAAATGGTTCTGTGTTAATTATTGCAGTTTAAATACGGGGGCCATCGGTTTTCCTCAATAAATACATCTGATTCATAACACAGTGGGGAGTGTGTCTTGTATTATCTTCAGAGCACCACAGTGCATGTCTCCAGGTACATGTGTACAGAACTGATCCTGCAGCCTCGCCAATCCCAAACCTATTCCTTATTGGTGAGTTCACCTGGTGCTGGACCACAACAGCCCTTTCAACTGTGTGCTCAAGGCAGAGGTCTGCAGAGAGCATCCATCCTACTCCAGCAGCAGGGACCCCCATAGCAGCTCTAGCAACATGAATGCATGGGTCTAGTTGACCTTTTACTCACTGAGGTCCTCAGGTTAGAGAAGTGGTTATGAAATTTGGCTGGGTTTTTCTTTCTTCTCGGATGAGAATGAAATGTCTGCACAGAGAGCTAGGAATTTCAGCATTTTAGTTAAATGCTAATTCAAGTTTCGGAATTCAGTCCGGTAATGTGCTCAGTACTTTTGCTCTGACTCAGAGGAACACTTCAGGGTAGACTTCACTTCAATAGGTATTTAACTGGAACCAAGATGCTCTAAAAATACATGGCCCCTTCAATACTTGAGTGTTTGTAAGCAGGAGCAGTCATAATGCATGAGTTTAGGTGTCTCAGTAATTCTGGGTCATGGCATTGTATGAACTGTCAGTAATGTACGTTTGTCTAGTGTCAATATTTTTAACAAGTCACTTGAGCTTTTCCGCTTTTCCTTAGACTTTGATCCTTCATTACCTCATAGATTAGGGCTTTTGAAGCTTCAGAGAACTTCAAGTAAACTTGAAGGTTGTAAAACGCAATAAGCAACAAGGACTTCAGTGCACGTTTTGTTTAGGTATTGCATAAAGTCACTTAAAGCATAACAGGAATTGAAAGGCCAAAGATCAAAAAAAATATTAAGCTGCCATTTTTTTCCCTCAAATTTTAAATAAAATAAATAAAGGAAGCTATAGTAACTATAAGTTTGCATAAGAAAACACAACAGATATGACTCATTTTACAAGTTTTCCTCTGTTATAAGCAGATAAGACAAAGTCACTTTCTTACTGTGAAAGATAAAGAAATTTGAAAATAGCTTTATAAATAATCCACCCCATGAGGTACATGCCATGTACAATTCTCAAAGTCATTTTTCTTGCTTTACTGAAGTCTGAGATTTACAAGCAGTAGGACTCTAATGAAGCAAAATGATGATTTATAGTAGCAGATTCACTAGGATGTTATTAATTGTCAAGGATTTTCATTAGCAGCACTGCCAGCTAGAAGACTGATCCTTTTGAAAAGGTGAGGTAAAGCCAGTTTGTGTGTTGCAGAGGAAAGCAAAACTGAGTCAAAACCAAGAGCCACTATCCTGATATCCATAGTGGCCAGCATGGCTATGCCAGATAAAAGGGCAATATCTGTCTCCATAGAATCACAGGTTAGGGTTGGGAAGGACATTAAGATGATCCAGTTCCAACCCTGTGTCATGGGCAAGGATGCCTCACACTAGACCA